AATCTTTTTTAAATGTACCAACTTGGGAACAGAACAAAACTAAACACAACACAAACGAACGCAAAAAAAAAAAAAAACAACGAAAAAACAAACACAACACTCATAACATAAACACAATTTAAATGCAATCATAAAGGCATATTGCTCACAGTCTAGCCCGTAGCGCCAAATCGCGCCCTTTCCGGTGATTTGCACCCCCTCAAACTTTCGATTTGCACCCTTCCCCCCCCCCCCGCCCTAAAACTTTCGATTTCCACCACACCCCCCCCCCCCTCGCAAATTTTTTCCAACCCACTTTGGCGCACCCGGGGACATATGCCCCCCCCCCCCTCGCTACGCCTCTCCTATAAAACCCGAAAGATAGAATAATAATTAGAAAACAGTATAAATAATAGGCAGTATTTAAAATATCCGTGTTTTACCTACAATATTTCACTTTATCCATTCACGCATTTTTTTCCCCAGTACTTTAAATTTTAAAAATTTACAATTGAGTTTCATAACTAAAACCATTGCGCACCGAATGAACGTGATGACGCGTCTATAATAGTGCTGAATAGTTGATTAAAAATTATAAGCAATAAAAAGTAGGGCCTACATTCAGTGAATAAAATAAATAAACGATTGCCTTTTATCAATCCATGCTATTTATAATTTTCTAACAATAATTTCCTCTTACACATCCGAATAATTTGCATTCACATTTTGCTAATTATATTATTGCAACACTAATTCCTTCTATGACGAACGTATATTTGCATTTACATTTTTTATTAGCGTGAGTTTAATGTATTTTTAAATTACCTCCTTTGTCAAAATTAGAAAAGAGTTAAATTAATTTGATTTTTCTACCGTACTGTTATTATCTTATTAAAATGTATCCACTTTTTCTGGGAACCTAAACGAAAATGATATTTGACATTAATCTTTTTAGTACGTTTTAGCAGTTTGCGTGTATTTAATATTTTCTTGACGTTATGCGAAAGAGTAAAAACCGTGGCAATTATAAAATAGCTCTATGCCGCTATATAAACAAACCCTACTCTATTACTTATAATAGGACACTGCGGTGCACTGAAAAGCACAGCATGGTGCGAATGTTTACTTTTATGGTTCCAAAATCTATAGCGATGACGGAAGGAAGGACTGACACACTACCAGCAGCGTTATATTATAGATATATATATATATATATATATATATATATATATATATATATATATATATATATATATATACATATATATATATATGGGGGTGGGTATGTGCGTGTGAGTGTGTATGTATTGTCGAGATGGTCAATGTGTAGTTATAAGACTTTTTAACTCTAATTATTCATTAACTTAACAGGCAAAAAGCATTTTTCTTCTATATATTTTGCAATTTTTCGTCTTTGTGTCACCTCCCTAAATGGTGTCACCCGGTGCGGTCCGCACCCCGTCCCCCGCATCGCCTATGAAATGACACTTCAAATCAGGCATTTTTCCTTTTCAAATAAATGTCACCATAACGGGCATTCAAATGTTGCTGTTTTTTTTTCAATTGTGTTGGTTTATTCAGTTGAAAGTTTATTTTTATTTTTAAAAACTAAATTGTAAAAAAAAATACGTTATAACACCAAATTGTTAATATTTAGGTCAAAGATGTAAAAATTGTTTATTCATTACAAATTAAAACATATTCTTAATATTTCTTTTACTTATTTTCCTTCTTTTTATGCAATCGTTCACACTAATGTAAGGGTCGGCAACCTTTTGAGCCGAAAGAGCCAAAAGTTACAATTTACAACATTACCCGGTTTTTAAAGAGCCACTAACATTTTTATGTCAATAGTATATTTGCTTAGGATTATATATATATATATATATATATATATATATATATATATATATATATATATATATATATATATATATATATATGAATTTGTGTTGAGATGATCTACTATGTAAGTTAGAGTACTTGCATTTGTTTTGAATAGCTCAAATCTCTCAGTGAAAACATCCTTCATTTTGTTTATATTAATGCTGAAGTGATTGAGTAGTAGCATTGGTTTTATAACGATATTTTTTTCAGATTTTTTCGTAATTAAGTAATTTACCGCTCACCATGTATTCAACACACAAGTATTTTCGAAACAAACCACATCTTCAAGCAAGACATAGGCTGGGTTTTCCTTTCAGTTTTACACTTAGCTGGTTTTGTTTATTTGTGATATCCACTATGAAGTTGAATGTTTTAATTCGGAAAGGACAATGTAATAGGAAGTAGGCTACATTGAGATAAGGAGTAACTAAATATTCTAAATAATAGTGAATGTTTATTGTTTATATTTTATGTTAAATCGTTTATTACCGAATGTTGTAGACCAGGGGTCGGCAACCTTTTGAATCGGAAGAGCCAAAAGTTACAATTTTCAAAATTTCCCTGGTTTTAAAGAGCCACTAACATTTTTTAAATTTCAAATAATTTATTTTTTTATTAAGATTATTAGTATTTGTGCAAGGAGCTGGAGAGCCGCATCTTGATATCAAAAGAGCCGCATGCGGCTCGCAAGCCGCAGGTTGCCGACCCCTGTTGTAGACTAATATTTTTATGAGTTTTGAAAATAAAATAATTATTAATATTTGTGCATGGAGCTGAAGAGCCGCAACTGGACACCAAAAGAGCCGCATGCGGCTCGCGAGCCGCAGGTTGCCGACCCCTGTACTAAAACATTGTTATAAAGTTTTTTAACACGTTTTTCTTAACTCAGCTTCGCGTTTGTTTGTTTGTTTGTTTGGATGTTTGTTGTTAAAATTGACATCGAAAATTAGCCCACTTCTGATTGCTCTAGAGATCTGAAATTTGGGATGTAGGCTACTTTCGCCTAACAATTTCAGATGCAATCATAAAAACTAGCAATTAGAGACCGTAATTAGCTTAATTTAATTACGCCCCAAGGACCATAAAATTGAGGACATGATTTCTAAAGATACCGACAAGACTGGAGGCCTATTGACACAGTTACTTCGGCCCCAATCGATGTGAGCGCGCTGGCCGTGATCGTATAGTGGTTACTACTTCGCGTTGTGGCCGCGACAACCCAGGTTCGAAACCTGGTCGCTCAAGATTTTTAGTCCGTGTATTTATAAACACTTAGTCAAGTCATTCTTAATCAAGTCATTAGATAAAGTAGAAAATAAACTAGGTCTATATAAAAAACTTTTTTAAAAACCACGTTTTTCATGTGTAGCAACGGACTAAAAAGGAGAAAATAAAATACTTAAAAAAAACTTTTTAAAAAACCACGTTTTTCTTGTGGACTAAAAAGTAGAAAATAAATTTTCATACATTTGATGACAAAAAACGTGGGTCGGGCAGATGGGTCGGGAACTTTGATGGTGAACGTACCCACGTTTTTTGTCATCAAATTTATGAAAATTTATTTTCTACTTTTTAGTCCACAAGAAAAACGTGGTTTTTTAAAAAGTTTTTTTTAAGTATTTTATTAGAAAAACAAGACATCTAAATAGAGTAAAATGGATCAATCTCTACATTTTTGATTTTTTATAAATATAGAAATACACTACTATTTATGTAATTAGTTTCGGTTGTTTGATTACTAGTTCAAATCTTTATTACACAATTGTTGTAATTCAAATTGACTAAAGTATCTGCTGATAAATATTTTAAGCTCTCTAGAATCGTATTTCACAATTGTAATCAGTTGGGATCGCCTCCCCGGAGTGAATTTTTCCAGCTTTAGTAACCCCCAGGCTCAAAAGATTAAAGTCGCCTCCCTTTGTTCAGCAAGATATAAATCAACATGGATTCCCTTGAGGCGCTCAACGCGGAGTCCGCGTTGGTAACTCGGTGGCTTAGACTGATCGCGTCGTGACAGGGGCTGTTAACTGTGGATTTGACTGCAGGGACGTGGATCTATATTTATTCTCGATGTGGTGGGAGTAATTCTGTAGACATCAGAGAAAACGGGAAACACAATGTCTAATAAATAAATAAATAATGAAAGTGACTAACCCATCTAGTGGCCGCGAGTGTTCTTTTGAAAAAAAAAAGAAAGTTAAACTTACCTCTACATGTCATACAGAACACATCCAAATTTTAACGTTCAGAATACTTCATAGAATAAGGGCAGAGAGTTGACTCATATTTCTTCTTTCTTTTTCTTCGTTCTTTATTTTAGTATTGGAAGGAATCCCCTACATCAATTAAGAATTTTTATTGTCAAATTGTAATGCGCCAAATAGACCAAAGACTCCATTTCAGCCTGCTTTTCTTTTTGGATTTTCTTCCATAGCCTTTGTCCAACCAAGAACAAACTACAAGGCAGCAGTTGTATGATTTTAGAGTTGTCCCCAGTTATCGAGTCACATCTGCTCGGGGTTCGAACTCGGGACTTTTCGTTTCAGCAACCATGAGCTTAACCGCCCCGACCACGCCGACTTCCTGACTTTGTCTTCGATAAAATGGCCCGTGTACATCTAATATATATATATATATATATATATATATATATATATATATATATATATATATATATATATATATATATATATGCATTTATGAGGATTAATGTCTAATTTAAAATTGTACTTCGATTTATCGTTTTTGTTCTTTTTGTATGGTGTAATTTGTAAAGTAACCCGCAATATCGTAGACATAGGTCATCAGACTTAAATGGAGACAAAGTACACTAAAAATGTAACTCAGGCTTTCTTTTGTCCCCGGGCCGCATGCAAGTCCACCCCTGTATGTGAATTCGGGTGTGTTAGCGATGTTTAGAACTACGTCAAAACAGATTTTGTTAAAACCGCAGATTCCGATGCGTGTTGAACGTATTCGTGCATGAAAATGGAACTCGGAAACTTCAGTCGGAGCATGCAACTCACAAATTCACAGGGGGTAATATTGATTTTTTCCCCACGCAGTATTTTCATGCCTTATTTCATATAGGGTACCTAGTGATCAATCGCCATCGATCGTTAATCGAAGTTCCGCTGAAATGACGCCATTGCTGGACGGAAATATTCTCCTGAGGGACTTTGAACGCCGCAATTGTTTTGTTATTGTTTTTCCTAAAACAGTAAGTTTTTGTGGTTATTGTCTTAGACTTGATACTTTGCAACGCTTCGTTATTTATTCAAATGGGGGAAAACTATAACACAAAACTCACGATATCACCCAGGAGTATATATAGTTGTTATAAATTGTCTCGCTTGTATTAGAGTCCGAGTGGACTCTGTCTCAATATTAGCCGAGTTCATTGATCGTGCACATATTAACATAGCACCACTGACACGCCCGTTACCATGCATAATGCTGTGTAATATTTCCTCAGACCACCCCCTTCTTGTGATATAACATTTCTGTCAGCGTCGCTAGGTCGGGTGTCATCCGGTGCGGTTATCACGAGTATTCTCCCCTCTACCATTTTATTATTTCAACGAAATAAAACATTGTTTTGACAGTAAATTTAACGACTTTACCATTCAGTGCCATCCTTTGCGGTAGATAGCTAGACTGCTAACCCGAGAGTCTCGAGTTCGAATCCGGGTTCAAATCAGTGGAATGTCCCTGAGTCCACCCTTCTCTGATTGGTACCTAACTCACGTTAGGGAAACAAAGGCGACTGGACATAGTGTTGACCACACCATCCATTCATATGCAGCGGTCAAAGAATCAGATGAACTCTACTTCATCTGCCCCACGTGTCTTGGGCACGAACGGTATTAAAAAGAGAAGAAGAAGCTTTCCCCTTAACGGTGTCACCCGGTTCGGACCTCACTCCCTCCCCCGCATTAGGACGCTAAAGCCCCACCCCCTCAGCCATAGTCCCAAGTTGTCTATGTGGAGGGTTAAAACAGGAAGTTGTGTATATGGGTGTGAGATTAACTCTGGATGACCAAAATAAAAAGCAAAAAATATTACATTTTTTATATTCCGATAGTAGTCCTATATAAGCTGCAAGAAATCAAAGCTGAACTATATTATTTTTTTTAGAACCAAATGCACAACTATGTATATTTTAGAATACGTTCACACATGCAAACCCAATGAAATTGTATATTATGTGTAATATAAATTTTATTTAAGGCCATGTCTGGAAGCTGGTAACACGCTAAGACGATGTGTAGGGCACAGTACGCTACACCGTGTGTCGGTCTCATGCTGGCTGCTGTGTTGACTTTAGGTAAATAGTGTGGTGGGTGTGACGAATTCACACAAACACATCCGCACAATCAAACACATCCACACAATCAAACACATCCCCACAGTTAAATACACCCCACAGTCAAACACATTCCTACAATCACGCAAATACAGGGCCACCATCAAATACAGGACCGCAATCAACCGCTTGCAGGATAGGGATAGTTAAATGTTATCTGAAAAACATCAAAATATTGTTTAACCTTATACTGATTAGAGTTTATGAAAATATTTAGCCACAGATACAGATTTTGACATAAAATAGTAGCAGTACAAAAGGGCCCTTATCCCCCCCCCCACATACATACCTCTGTCCAGATAAATATCTCTAAATTAACATAACAAATATTGATTGATTGATTCTCTCTCTCCCCCCCCCCCTCCCCCAGTCGCACGGTGCCATGGTCTACTGTGCTACGAATGCTCGGAAACATTTGATAAGACCTGGGAACCCAGGACTTGTCAGATCAATTCCAGCGCAGTGCCTAGCCGGATCTGCAACCAAGAGCAGCCGTTTTGCTATGTAAGTCTCCTACCGGCAGCCAATCATAAAACAGTTCAAATCTAACGGCTCGACATAATTATCCAGTATTGAAATACTTCATTAAGTTGGCCATATAATAGATAAACATCCATATTATTGATCACTGCCCATTAGACACGTATTTCAATACATAATAATTATTTAATTAAATGTAATACCAGCTCTTACGTATAGTCTATGATCTAAACTGAGTGAAAGACCGAGTAGGAAATACAATGATGACGTTTCTATATTTAGATATGATTCTAGTTTGCTCCGTGTTTATTTTTTTCAAAATACAAAACTGTGTCGTATCAGAATGTCTGTTTCTCTGTCTGTGGTTGGATTATTGGTCAAATTTTGTAACTCACTCCAAAGCAACGATTTTCCAAATAAATTCTTTTCCGATGACAATGCAAGAGTAGGCCTATCTAATATTTCAAATCCAATCAGTGGCGGAACTAGAAAAAAAAGGCTCCCCCGCAAAAAAAATGTTTGGCCCCCCCCCCTATATATATATATATATATATATATATATATATATATATATATATATATATATATATATATATATATATATATATAACCTGAGTATTTGAATCTATTTCATTGCAATGTATAACCACTCTGAGATAACGAACCAGACAACAATAAGTCCGAACTCAAATCGGGCCCGCAATAATCCGTTTTACAAGTGTTTTCATTCCTTTTTTATTTTTATTTTGATACGCTTCGCGATTCTGCGATTCTGCGTACATTTTCATGTCTATCCAAATTGATGATAAAAGTAATTTTTTAGCTAGTCAAATTTATATAAACACGTAAGCTTGATTTGTGCAATGGTTTCTCGCGTTATGCTTATTTTTATGATTTTTTGTATTTATATTATTAGTTTTGAATACATTCATTTTTATAGCTTTAGAATTCTTTAGTATGCATTATTTAAATAATAATTAAGATAATAAATTGCTTTTTAACTTACATAGTACAAATCTATTTAAATGAGCTTTATGGGCACCCCTATTTTAAAGAAGGGCAGTAAGTCATGGAAGTAGTGTGAACGTTTGCCTATCTTTCAAACTACAGCTCTTGTAGATTTTATATTTTTCTACGCAACAGTGTGTGTTAGTTTCTGTAGAACAATCACTGCTATAGTAGACATGTTTGTTTTTTATAAAACCACTATCAAGGTGCGCGAAAAATATTATTTATGAAAAGAAAATTCATTGTTCTTTTCGGTCGGAATTGGGCCCCTAAACGTCGTGGGCCCCCCCGCATTGCGGGGTCTGGCGGCACTGTAGTTCCGCCCCTGAATCCAATTAGATTTAAAATTAGTTACCGGCTTAGTGGTTAAATTTTGTAACTCACTCCAAAGCAGCGATCTTCAAATAATTTCCTTTCCAATGACAATGCAAGAATATCTAATATTCAATCTAATTAGATTTTTAAATTAATTACCGAAAATTTATTAAACGACGGTTCGATTCAATAACAAATTGCGAGATAGCAGGAATATGGCAAGGTGTGTTCCCTCTTGTTTTCTCACACAAGAGCGGAAGTTAAGCTTCTCTCTTCTCTTCTTCTTCTTCGTTCTTGATTCTAGTGTTGGACAGTATTTCCTCCAACATAAGTATTGCTGGTCATGTAGATACAGGTCGTCGACTCCGATTACAGCCTGCGCTTCTTTTCAATTAGCTTCCATGAAAAAAAAAAGCTACAAGGCAGCCGTTCTTTGATTTTGAATCTATCGAGCCTCGTCTGCTAGGGGTTTTAATTCGGGACATTTCGGTTTAACATTCTGCTGACCCCTACTCAGTGGCGTAGCGATGTCGGGTGTCACCCGGTGCGGCACTTAATGGTGTAACCCCCCAGAGGCGTAGCGACCCTTCCCGGGGACAAACTTTCAATTTACGATTTGCACCCCCTCAAACTTTCGATTTGCACCTTCCCCCCTCCCCCCCCCCTCAAACTTTCGATTTCACCTCTTAAAAGACTATTTAACACTCGAATTAATCACTTAATTAAGTGGAGTTATCATTCTTCTCTATATATTTTGCTATTTTTTTTGCCTTGGTGTCACCCCCCCCCCCCTAAATGGTGTCACCCGGTGCGGTCCGCACCCCCGCCCCTCGCCACGCCTCTGCCCTTACTTAAGCTTGTTATTATGTTTCAATATTTGTTGAATCTTTTCATGACGTCATGTCCGGTTTCAGGTCAAGAGAGTGACAGTGAAGGGCTACGTCCAGAGCATCGACAGGAACTGTATCGACCAGTGCCCCTATGGCTGTCAGCTTACAGAGATGGGCATCACCTTTCTGACGTGCACTTCCTGCTGCGCGGAGGATCTGTGTAACATAGGAAACGGTGGAGGCAACTTCCGGCTGTGTGCCTCAGCTCTTGTCGTCTGCTTGTTCTTGAGTTTTCTGACCCAGGGATTGTAGACCGTCGGGGTGGTTCTCGCTGGGTCGGGCTGGTTCATGCTGGTCTTTTATCTACACGGGATTGTAATTAATAAACAGGGCACCAAAAGGACTTCGTTTGATAACAAATGCACCAAAAGGACTTTATTTGATAATATGGGCACCAAAAGGACTAACTATTTGATAAACAGGGCACCAAAAGGATTTTATTTGACAACATGGGCACCAAAAGGACTATTTGATAAACAGGGCACCAAAAGGATTTTATTTGACAACATGGGCACCAAAAGGACTATTTGATAAACAGGGCACCAAAATGACTTTATTTGACAACATGGGCACCAAAAGGACTATTTGATAAACAGGGCACCAAAAGGATTTTATTTGACAACATGGGCACCAAAAGGACTATTTGATAAACAGGGCACCAAAATGACTTTATTTGACAACATGGGCACCAAAAGGACTATTTGATAAACAGGGCACCAAAAGGATTTTATTTGACAACATGGGCACCAAAGGACTTCATTTGACAACATGGGCACCAAAGGACTTTATTTGACAACATGGGCACCAAAAGGACTATTTGATAAACAGGGCACCAAAAGGATTTTATTTGACAACATGGGCACCAAAGGACTTCATTTGACAACATGAGCACCAAAAGGACTATTTGATAAACAGGGCACCAAAAGGATTTTATTTGACAACATGGGCACAAAAAAGACTTCATTTGACAACATGAGCACCAAAAGGACTTTATTTGATAATCCAGGCACCAAAAAGATTTTGTTTGACAATATGGGCACCGAATATTTGAAAATACCTGCACAGAAAGGACGGTTTTAGCATTCTAAGCATATGTTCAAACAGAGCCATATTTACATTTATGAAATTTGAATAAATAAAAACCATGTCTTAATGTGCGGATAACCAACTAATAGATCTGTGCTGTTTGATATAATTTTCATGAAAAACTCTCTCAGGTTATATGCAACCCCCCCCCCCCCCCTTACCCACCTTATCATATGCAGTGCGAGTGCATTGTTTTAACATACATGTTTGTGTGATGACAAATTCTCAGCAAGTTCTATCCATCTTTTCTTAGCACTGGTTCCCCAACTGTATGATTAGCTGCCGTCACCTCCCTATTATGGCAACGATAAATTTATTGTAATAATTTTACCCGTTTTTTTTTCTTCAGGTTTTTGAAAATATTTTTTTATTTTTATTTTTCATTTCTGAATTTAAAAATAAATAAATATTTAAGCATATTAGAGCAGGGGTCGGCAACCTTTTGAAACGGAAGAGCCAAAAGATACAATTTACAATATCTTCCAGTTTTTAAAGAGCCACTAACATTTTTCTTTACTTCCTCGTAAATAGAGTATAGAGGAAGTATTGTAATCGTGCACAAATATCACATGAAATTTTGAGTTTTCATAGTTTTACAACTCAGTACTTCATCATATACTGAGTATAGAGGACTTATTTTAATCAAGCCAAAATTATAAATGCAGATTTATCAAAATTTCGGTGTTCTGGGCTTTGCAATTCTTTCCGTAAGTCTGTGTGTGTGTGTATGTGTGTGTATGTCTGTGAACACAATAACTTGAGCACCGTTACGGCAAGGTTGATGAAACTCTTATATTAAATTTGTAGTTCTGTGTAATTTTTTCAGCGATTTCCGGCAACCGGAAGTTGAACTTATCCTACTTTTGATTTTTTTATAAGTATATAACTTGATTACTGTTTTAAATAGATAAACAAAATTTCACATGCAAGTAAACGATCTAATTCTGTCAAATTTTCAGTAATTTCCGTTGACCGGAAGTAGTAATTTACGCTATTTCCGATTTCTCAAGAAAACGGATGTGAATTTATAAAGTACTAATAATATTCCGCACTGTTATACACAGATTGATTGGCATTCACTTGGTGCGCAATTCTTTTTCTACGAGCTTTTATACTATTTCAAAAAGTATAAGTAATTAAAATGGATTAAAAATCATGTCTATATCCCGAGGTGCCATCCCCCGTAGTATTATAAGAATATTCGAGAAAGTTTAGGGGAGATCACTCCCGGTTTAAGTATCAAATAATATTTATTCATATAAAAACATACGCATGTTTTGCACAAAACACAATAAAGTATTTAACTAGCTCTGCTTGGATGCTATGATAACAAAATCAAATTATATATATATATATATATATATATATATATATATATATCTATAGCACTATTTCTACCTAATTTAGAAGCTAATAACTAAAAAACCATGTCACAAAAGTCAAATTAATGCACACTGACACATAAGACAATGCCTTCTGAAGAAAAGAAAATAAAGAAAATATTCGGGGAAAATGTGCGCTTCGGTAGTGAAAGCATGGAACTACTGCCACGGGGCTGGCCACATCAGTCTTGGAGCTGGGCCTAGTACCCAAGTATCTGTCAGCTGTCTGTATACACTCTACTCCACCAATTCTTAGTGTTTTTTCTTGTTTAAAGATGTTTTTTACAGAATATTTTTATGAATTATGAAAATAAAACAATATAATTATTATGGAATTGGCGTGCCGCATCCTTACATCAAAAGAGCCACATGCGGCTCTCGAGCCGCAGGTTACCAATCCCTGCATTAGAGAATTCATTTTCAGAAACACAATTAGAAACATTAGCCAGTCAACCTTTATATAAAACAAATTAAATGGAGGTATAGGGCTTCATGACATTCATAATAAAATAACATATACCATGAAAGTATTTTTTTTTTTTTTTTTTTTTTTTTTTTTTTATACTTTTATTTGCAAACCATGAAAGTATTAACATCAATCAAAAGACATCTTTGAATTATACTGAAAGTTAACGTAGTTCACTTATTTTTTAAAATTAATAGTAAAATAATTAAACATTATTTTTAGGTTTTAATTGTAATGAAATTTTAAAATTTATTATCAAAGAAAGACAAAATTGTTGAGATTATCCTAAAATATATTTTATAATATATTTTATATTTGGAAACAAAGCAACAGCCAACTTTAAAATATTTAACAAATTGCATTTTGTTGATGTGTAGATGTCTGGTGTTGTTTCCCCCTTACCTTTTATTTTAATCTACATGGGAGGTAAATAATTGCCCAAAACAACTATTTCACGTTGTATCCATTGTGAAAAAGGTAATAGCATAAAGAGGATCAAAATTAATTAATGTGTCTTTCTTTAATATATGCACTAACACACACACACACACACACACACACACACACACACACACACACACACACACACGCAAACACACACACATTTATGAAATGATTTGTTAAATTATATTTTTATTCAGTTGAAAGGTTACATCTCTCCCCCCCCCCCCGCCCCCCAGATGATCCGGCAGTAGTTTCACTAATTGATTACCGCTGGTGGCCAGATAAAATATAGAGAAAGCCACGCATTGTCCCAAAGCAAACATCGGTCATAGAGGCCAGACTAGTTACTTTCTCGGCCAAATCGATGAAGTAATTATTTATTATTTGCAGAAAGTTTTTTTTAGACAAAACTTTGGTTCAATATTATTTCAGTTTTATATTTTAATTTAGTTAAAGTTTTCTTTCAACTGATGACAACTCAGAGTTAGTAAAGAATAATTTTAATTTAAATTTTTAAATAGCCAGTAAAACTAAAATTAAAAACCACTAACAATTTGAAAACGGAATCCAGCAGGGAAATATTAAAGAGAAAGGGAGATAATTAGTATAGTATATATTATTGGTACCGATATTATAAGAGTCAGAGTTTTAGAATTAATTTTTATTTAGAGGTGGGCTGCCGCTGGCCAACAAGACTTGCCGCTGTAGCACGTGATATAAAAAAATTCTTAACGTTACAGCTTTTATAAGTTTAAAGTTGGAACTTTGGGAATCTATTTTGACGTAAAAATGTGTAGTGGTTTTAATTTAGTTGTTTTCGTTTTTTACTGATGGTTCTGTGGTGTTCAATCGTTGCTTATGTAGTATACTGCTGATGATGTTGGGAGATGGTATTGTGATCTGGTTTTGTGGGCTGATGTTGTGTGCTGGCGCAGGTGTGTGTTGTTGATGTGTTCAGGTGCTGTGTACAGGTGCTGTGTGCAGGTGCTGTTTGTAGGTGCTGTGTGCAGGTGCTGTGGGTAGGCGTTGCAAGCTAGTGCTGGAGATGTTTACTCCAAGACTACACATGAGTAATGTGTCATGACCAAATGCATGATAACCAGATCTTCTGTAAGAGCTAATCGATCTATCCATCTCCTGACATTGACATCCCAACTTCTAACTGTTAAAATAGTTACTCTTGTTATTGTAGCATGTTGTTATACCCACTTTTTAAAATTTTCAGTGCATAAAAAGTAGAATAAACAACATCATACCATGTTTCCGACATCTTTCATCGGACATCATTGTCTTTTCCTAGCGGCTGTTACATCTTGTCTAGGTAAGTTGTTTAACTTTTTGTTTTACTCGTAACATTTTGTTGCTTTTGTTTACTTCCGACGCTTCCCTCCTCCTCCCCTCCCCCCCCCCCCCCCCCCAATATCCGCGTCAGGGAAGCCGCCTTCAACGCGTAAGAAAGAAACTTACAACTGTCTTTTAACTTGTCTTGTCTACAGACTGGGGTTTTCTTCACTGGTCCATGTCTTGTCAACACAGTGACGTTTTCCTTTTTTCCACATTTGCTCCCCGTCACGTCGCGAGTTCCCAGACAATGAAAACAGATGGGTGGCCATCTCTAAGCCCAGATTATGGCCTGCGTGCTCTTGACCCGGCCGTGTATGCCCCGGGGTGGCTCTGGGGTGGCCATTAACTAATATAAGCACGCACTGGGGGTGCTGTGGATGTCTAGTACGGCGGGGCTGAAAAAGCCACAATGAATTATTCATTTGCCCCCCTAGTGTCTTGGTGTAATTAGATTTGGACACTCACGTCCGATTTAAAACCACTTAGCATGAGCTCAGTTTAATGGTGTTTAAAACATGGCGGTATCATAACATAATTCTGCTCA